ATAAAATTGGTTCTTTTCCTCACTTTTCAATGTGCGTAATACATTTTTACTGAAAAAATAAAATCAACCTTATTTCAACCTAATTTCGATTTTCGACCTTAAATCGATGTCGATATGATATAGTTGAATAGCCGTTGATATTTTATACACGATCGACGTCGAATCGATCAGAATTTCGACATTCCGTTTTCGATGTTGATTCGATGTCGTATCAACTCAACATTTCTGACTGGGATCATGTTTATATATATATATATATACATATCGAGATGTGCAAAGTAATATAAAAATTTCTGCTTTCTCGTTACGACGCTACATTAAAATTATGATGTTAGAAGCGAGAAGTCAAACAATCCAGACAGCACACAATATATATTTATAAAATATTTACAAAATGTTTATAAATAATTATAAAATTTATTTTAAATATTTTTGTGATCTCTCTTTAAAATATTTAGTCTATATTTTAATAATATTTTGAATAAAGCTTTATATAAAATATGTAAAATATCGATATAACATTTTAAAAAATGAATATTAATAAATATTTATCGTAAATATTTTGTGCTGTCTGGGAAGTCTTTCTTTCGAGCTACGTCTAGATAAATTAATTGTTTCGCATACTTCCATATTTGATTAAAGTACATATTAATAAAATGTACCAAAGAGATTCCTTTTTCGACTAGCGGGTTAATGGACAGCTGTAGGTTTTCATCAATTATCAGATAGTAAATTTTTCAAAAAGATGTTGCAAAGCATCTGTTTCATAAATTATAAGTCAGTAGAATGTCAGCAGAAAAATATATAATAGAATCTAACGCCATATTATAGCAGATTGAGTGCGAAATTACCCTGATAGCAAAGCCTGCGGAGACAGATTTTGAACAGAGTCTGCTACCAATTTTTGATTGCAGAAAGGCACCAAATTGTATACAGAATTTGTATTATCTGACATTGTCAGCAAATTGCTGCCAGAAATATAACAAATAAGCCTGCTAGACATGCTATGCCAGCAGATTGGTAGCAGAAACCGAGCAAAGTCTTGCATAACCTGACGGCAGATTGAGAGCAGATTGAAAGCAGAACCTGATTCGAGCAGACTGCTCGGTTACATTTACAAGAAACAGAAAATCTTTCCCTTTTTTATGTTAACGTTTTGTTTTCTGCATGCTGCAACCCACTTAGTTGCGATCGTAAAACCTTTCGGAAACGAAAAATATTATATGTTGTTCCCGTTAAGTAATTTTGTTTTCCGAAAATAATTGCCACCTTTCACGGAATAAGATATGCATATGTAATATCCACAATTAAAGAGGAAAAGAAACTCAATTATGCGTTTTTACTGAAATCACGTTTCTTCGGATACAAACATTTAGGATCAGCTGGATCAGGATCTATCATGCTTAATCGTCGAACCATTCGGACGATCTGATTGGCTCAGAATGTGACGTCACACTTTGATTGAACTTTAACTGCGCAGTGGTCTACCACCGGATGAGCATATCCTTGTTTTTATATCATGCGCACGCGCACAAAATATATTTTATTAATTTATACTATCGACCCTAGAGAAAATTTTTCTTAAAATTCTTTGTATAATTTTTCAAAATTTCTGTTTTCAGAATTTCTATATAATTTTACAATTCATTGGAAAATTGCTCAGATTTATAATATTATACATACTTTGCAATATCAGTTTTCAAATACTCGCAATTACAATGACACGTTGAAGTTTCATTGTATGCCATTTGTAAATAAAGATAATTTGGACAAAACAAAATAATCAGATCGTGTAAAACCGGAATCAGACTATGCATTGAAGATTGAGATTGAAGATTGAAAGATTGAAATTTGATTAATAAGGACAAAGGGATTTTAGCTTTTATTGTTTTGATTGATCAAATTTCAATCTTTCAATCTTCAATCTCAATCTTCAACGCATAGTCTGATACGCTTTAAAATGGGCACTTGTAAAAATGGACACACATTGTAATAATAATTACTCTTCCTGGGGGTCTGTTCTTGAAAAGAAACGTATATGAAAGTCTAGGGAAATACTACAGTATACGTATTACATATGCTGTAGTATTTTCCTACTTTTTGGTATACGTTTCTTTTCAAGAATAGAGGCCCTGATAGTCAGTAAATAGTCGTAAAAAGCACGTGAAGCTTATTTAAATTTAAGCTTACTTACAAATGAAATGTAGCAAGTAACTTCAATTGTCATTTCTCGTTTGTGACGTCACGATTCCAATATGACCCGCCGACTAGTCAAGTACGTTATCTATGTAATTCAGAACATCTTCAAAATCCGCCTCAATCTTTGAAGTTTCGCCATAAAATATTTCTCTTGATTGTAAAAGTCGTTCAATTTCTTCGCTATATCTCGACATCATCATACGTGTTTTATGCTAACGCGATGTGAACCGTAAGTACGTGGGTCTTTTACGGAACGCTCATGACTTTATTTGCTCGCAGGATCGCAGCAAATTGACGAAAACCATTACAGTCATCTGTATATCCTATCTACTTTTTTAAATTAGGGTCCTCGATCCTCTCCCTAATCTATTGCAATGTTATACAGCTCTCTCTACTCGAAATTTTTACTGTTTCTTAAAAGACCTACGGTTTAAACCCATAAGGGTTATAATCTAATTTATGTGATGCTAATCGGATTCCATAAGTCGAACTGTATCAAAAGTCTGTTAAAGGTATTAGAATGAAAGTGTCAAGGATTAAATGTTGTATTTGTTTTAGCCTTGCTGGTGGATATGGTGGATATGGTGGATATGGCGGATATGGCGGACATGGCGGATATGGTGGATATGGTGGATATGGATATCCCCATTATCATAACTATCCCGATTATCACTACCACTATCACAGCTATCCCCATTATAATAATTACCACCACTACAATTACGGACCAGGTTATGGCTATTGGTAAATTGAGACTGACTTCGGATGAATGCATTATAAGTAAGAGTTTGATATATGAATATTACAAAATTATTATTTGGTGTTGTTCTAAATTATTATTTTCCAATATAATTCATATAAAAAAAATCAAAAACATTAGTTAATTATACATTATAATACAGGGTGTCTCATAAAGACCGTAATAACACTTAAGGGAATGCGACGACCGAACTTAACCGATGTTAATATAATAATAAACTTTTTAACTCCAAACTCAGTTAATTCTTACATTATCGTTCGTTATCTTCTTCAAACGCATCTGTCCTTATCTAACATATATTACCATCTCTTGTAAGATCCGATATATTTCTTATTAGACACATTTACTGCTTTTTTAGGCCGTCATTTCATTTGTGCGTTTTTGTCGTATGATAAATTTTTCAAGCCTGTTCTCAACTCAGAATCGACTCTGTCAATTCTAAATGTCTTTCAATATTTGGTAAACAACAAGAATAAAATGATACTCGGATTGACATAGTCGAGTTTTGGAACGCACCGCTTAGATGGATTTGAATGACGAAAAAAAAGAAAAAAATCGGAATGACACAATACAACGATTAAAAATTGTTTAATTAAATAATTTAAGGAACAGAAAGAGATTCATTCACAGAGAAACGTGTTTATATTACAAATCTTTAAAAATAAACAATAATAAGATTGAAAGACCGCTAATGTTAAACATAATGCTTTAAATTAAGAAGCGCCATAACGGTCAGAACGTTAAGATGTTGAACTATTATAAATTCATTTAAATGAATTAATTTCAGAAATTATAATTGCGTGCCGATATGGTTGTCGGACTTTCAACGCAATCAAATCTGAAAATATTATTATAATAATCCCCCCAAAATCAATTTCAATCTTATTATTGTTTATACACGCGCGCCGAGAAATGCGTAACTCTCTATACATATCGACGATTACTGCGAAAAATAATGCTAAGGTCTCGGTGGTCTGAAGGCTTAGGACGCTCGCACGGAATGCAAGAGATCCGGGTTCGACTCCCGGCCGAGGCATTATTTTTCGCAATAAGTTTATTACAGTTTTTAAGTTGGGAATTTTGGGGGGATTATTAATATTTTCAGATTTGATTGCGTTGAAAGTCCGACAACCATATCGGCACGCAATTATAATTTCTGAAATTAATTCATTTAAATGAATTTATAATAGTTCAACATCTTAACGTTCTGACCGTTATGGCGCTTCTTAATTTAAAAATAAATATCTTTAAATTCTTTGCAATCCTTGTGGAAATATAAATTTAACATAAACTATTACACAAACTTCATTTTATACAAATATATATTAGAACTGTTTCCATATATGTATACCACATTATATGTATACAGGGTGTTCTGCTTCTATAACCGCATTTCCTCTTATGACGTTCTTGAGATAATTTTAAGTCAAAAATTCAAATATGAAAATGTCGAGACTGTAATACTTTTTAAATTAAGCAGCGATCAAATTTCACTAATTACGGAGCACATTTCGTGCGCTCAGGCACGATGATACAAGTGGTCAAGGTACTGCTCCATGAGGGCGCTCTCAGAAACTTCAAGATCATACAAAATATACAATGATATTTTTACTAAGAAATTGTTTTATTGCTTCTATATGGAATGAACTTTAATAACTATTAATTTAAAAGGTATTATACTCTCGATACCTTCGTATTTAAATTTTCGACTTATAAGTTTCTCAAGAATACGTCTTTAAGGGAGGGGATCGAAGAGATTTAAAATTTCAAAAAATTCAATTTTTTTCTGTATTCCGATAGTGTGAGGCTTTAAGAATATTTTTCTGTTTTGCTTTTTCTTAGAAATTCACAAAATTGAGCTTAGAAGAGTAAAAATATAGAAGAGGATAATGGAAATACGAGAGATCTCCCCATTGGAGTCCCTCGTATTTTTATTATTCTCTATGAAGCTATGCTCAACCAGTCGACCGTAAAGAGAACGATTAATAGAATTTGGTACATAGTATATTTTTACCGTTTGTATAGTTAGAAATTATTTATAAGTCGAAAGACTTATAAATTCTTAACCAAAAATTTTCTTTCCAAACTTTAATCGCGTTTTTCTCGAAACGGTATATTTTGTTGATTTTGCAACAATAACTCAAGAACGGCTTTAGATATCGACTTCATTTTTTAAAAATAAAGTTAATGAATCTTTTCGCAAACGGAACATACTTTTGTACACGAAAACTTTACTTTTTAAGGCCATTTTAACAGCAAATAACATGAATTTTTCAACATTTTTTAACTTTTGACTATCATTGTGCATATCTTGATATTTTTTTCTATTTTAGATTCAGTCTATAGAGAGGGATCTCATAAATAAAATGGCACCAAAAAATTGAAAAATTTCAACTCGTTCATCCGGAATCGTGGCAAAACCACAGCAAATGGCACAGACACTTTCAATTGCTTATATCTCCCTCAAATATTTATACTTTTTGGACGTTTGCATCTGATTTTGTTCAATAAAGAAACCTTAAAAATATACTAAAAAGAAATTTTTCTTTAGCGCTCTTAAAACGATTTCCGATTCATTTAAAGGGTCACAGTACCACGAATATTTGTTCCGAATTACACATGAAGCGCATAGACTGCATGAACGCATCAGACGCATCAATTCTCCTCCTCAAGTCTATTGATTACAGAAAAATAGATTATAGAAAAAGTCAATGCACTGGAAAGAG